TTCTTCTTGTTTCTTTTCTTGTTTATTCTCTCATTCTTCTTGTTTCTTTTCTTTTTCCTCTAACAACTGCTGTAATTTCTCTTCTTGTTTATTTTCTTTCTCCTCCAATAGCCGTTGTAATCTCTCTTTTTGTTTATTTTGCTGTTCGAGCTGCCACTGTTGCAGGTTTTTTTGCAACTGCTGTAATCTCTCTTCTTGTTTCTTTTCTTGTTTATTCTCTCGTTCTTCTTGTTTCTTTTCTTTTTCCTCTAACAACTGTTGTAATTTCTCTTCTCGTTCTTCTTGTTTCTATTGCTGTTCTTGTATTGCTGCCATCAAATCTGCTAAGCTGTAGTTTGATTTGCCGATTCTCGTTTCCATTTTTTTTTTATCTTCTGTCCCACTCTCTGACACCAATTTATTACTCTCCTTTCGTTAATTAATTTTCCGTAACTTCGTTCAGACGAAACTTTAGCGACACAAGTCCTTTCTTAATAAAACTGGTTTATTCTTTCCGAATACAACTTTACGATACACTTAACTTCAACAGTCGCGCTATAACAAACGCTATATCTCAAGTGGCCAACAATATTTTGTCCGCATACATTCAATTACTCATTACCTGTTGTCCCGCACGTTGTCAACGTCTTATATATATAAGACTAACACATATCTAATAGTCTCCCGATAATTCACGAAGGTTCGAGAGAAGTGACGTAATACTAGTCACGTGACCTCGCTGACGCAACAATATAATAAATGCGGTAAATAAGAGTAAGTTTACAAAGTTGTGTAACCAAGATATTCTTCATTGTGTTTAGGTGAATGATGAACTCGAAGTAAAAAAAAAACCAAAAAACAATTATTAAAGTTTAGTTTTAGTTATGGTGATATGCTAATACTAATAGGGAGCAGCAAGACCTGATTAAGGACTTGGAGGGGGGGAGAGCAAGTTTTTAGGGTATCTCTCAGAGCCGAAATTTATAAAAATGTCAAATGTAATTTAGAACTTTTAGTAACTACAGTTTGGGCAATACAGAAACGCGAGCTATGGGCAGATGATTTACAAAATGCTAATTATAACATTTATAATAAATACGAAGTAATGACAACATATTTTTATAATAAAAATAAAGTAATTAAAACTAATTTTTTTGTTTAATGTCTGAACAAATAATTATGAAAGAGCAAACTGTAAGAAAAATATTAATAAAAAACTACAAAATACTAGGTTTCTAGGAAACGGTATTAGATATGTTTTTCAATGAGACATCCATCCAGTTTTTGATTAATTTCATTTCATTTTTTTTCTTAGTTGGTCCTCTTTGATCCGGTGGGTGTGTGTTGGGGGGGGGGGGGGTAACCAATTCGCTCCCTACCAATCTGGCCCTGAAGAGAATTACTTAAGACATATCTAAGTTAATAAAAATTTAACTTTTAAATGGAAAATGAAATGACAAGACACTCCAAAAGTATGGATCTGTTGAAAGACTTCTTAACTGAAAGCAACTTAGGCCTAGGCTTGTATCATGAAAACAGGACAGGCCTCCCTAATCACCAGAAAGGAACAGTTTTTTACACAAAAAACTAAAAACATTTGTTAAGCTACAAGGGTAAATTTTAGTGTTCTGTCATGAAATACGTTTGATTTTACAGGATTTAATTGATGAACCTCAAAAACGTGTGTGGTACAGGACAGTATCATGTAGTTTTTACTCTCTTTTGATATGCAAATTTTTCGAAATCTCGTTTTCTTTCATTTCAGTGTGGACATGGAAAGTTGTTCAAGTAAACATCTTAACTTCTTCAAATGTAACACTGCAGAAACTTTAAATATTTCTGATATAAGAAATGGAACTTCTTCTAGGGTGATAAAAATGAAGGAATTAACTGCTTAGAAGGAAATTTAGTATTTTAGTAACCATTTATGTTTGTAATTTTGAAGTCTTCATGGATAGAATGTTGTGGAAAAACTCAGATGGTAATTTGTAAGCCATAAAGCCTTAATCAGAGTACTTGCTCTTTATGAAACTTACAGTATTTATATGAACCTTTAAAGAGATGACAGGAAGCTATCAAGATTCCACATAGATTATTGCCTTTTAGTGGAGATTTTCTTCAGGGCCTTTCTAGCCTCTTGAACACCCCTATTAGGACATATATCTGCTCCTCACCTATTACGTTTCCTAAACCAGCTGTTGATTTTTGTAGTCAGGGTGCTCATGTCACTGATTATTGTACTGACAAAGTGCTCATACCTCAGTCCACTTTGCAGCCTTGTATAGATGGTGTAGCCTCTGTTATCTAATTCCTCCAGTATGGTAGTAAATCACTATCGTGGAAGCAGAATGTTTAAAGGTGGACTTTTTAGTGTTTCCCTCTTCCTCCTTAAAGCATTTCAGTCTCAGGCACAACATTTCCATTTGACGTTGATAGCCTGGGAGGTGCCTTGCTTGATGATGCAAGGGTTGATGGTAATGTTTTTACCAATTTAGTTGATCTGGAAGATTCCCCCACAATAATGTTATCCTGAAACTTCACCTGGTTTGGAAGAAGTGTTGCTATTCATTTGAGTCTTCAAGCACTTTTCTGGAGTTGTTATTATTTGGTTGAAGCCTTTCAGGTCTGGAAAACTATCCTCCATTTTGGCATGCAGCAACAAAGGGCCAATCTCAGGTAGCTTCTTGGAAGGTTGGAAGTCAAAGTAGCCAGTATCCAAACATCATTGACTTAAGCAAAAGTCCAAGTCAACTGAACCTATGTCAGTAATGTATGGTCAAATATTAGATAACATCAGGTTACAAACCAGCCTTTTCTAAGATTTAGTGTACAAATTGAACCTTACAGTATTAATGGTGAATGAACTCATTCCTATATTACAAGAATGTGCTTGTTCCAAATATATAAGTGTGGTGTACATTATCCAGCAGATTTGTCTCACTCTCAATGAAAATCACACTCTTTTTCAAATGCTTCAGTTCAACATCCAACCAAAAACATTCTTTATTAGCATTAATAAAATCTAGAATGTGCCATCTTTCTCTTGAATATGATCTAAACTACACTAATCATTGCAGTCTTTACCAAACATACACTATTCTATGCCAACTATTTTATTTGTTTGGAAATTACACTCAATCTGATTAATATATAAGATAAGTGTGGATTAACATACATACCCATCTCAACGTAACATATTAACCAATATACACTAGATGGCCATTTTATTAGGACCTATGTACCCTTTCAGATTTGGGCCTGACCTGATTTGATGATGCAAATTAGGTTCATCACATTATATGTCAGGTGATCCCTGTGGCACTATAAATGACTGGGTCAGGCACATTTTTGGCCAATGTAAAAGATATAGAACAAAGGCAAATATATTGCAGGGTTCAAAAGAAGCATGATACTAGGTGCACATCTAGCAGGTGGTATAGTGGATAAACAGGCTCTTTGGTAGGCTACTCCAAGACACCAGACTTTCAGGTTTATCAGCAATGACAAAAGATTAA